AGGAGCCAGAGAGGCCGTTCATGGGCGGCTACTTAGGGTCTCGTTTGGGGCGGGGAGGAAAGGGCCGGCTCCACCCCCATCCTGTGAGGGCCCACGTGTCTCATCACTGCAGGCCCTACCCTGACTGTCCAGTGGCCTCTGGAGGATGGCGGCCACTGAGCCGCCAGGCGGAACAGGCCAAGGCACGAAACCTATTGCCACCTGGGATGACCCAGTACCAGTAACCTACTGCGGAGACCAGATGCTTTTCTGCCAAAAGCCATTGGGTTCCAAGATTTGTTTCTGAGTCTCTGGGATCATGACCATTAAGCAGTTTGATCAGGAACCAGAGAGGCCTTGCCTACAATTATATAGCTGAACTGGAGATGGTTTGTGGGTGTGACTCCCACATACCTAACTTTTGGCCATTTACTTTCTTGGTAAGCTTGGCCCCAAGTTGTTGGGGTCTGGCCAAAGGCACAGCAGCAATTTTGGGATATCTAGAAGTCTGAAGGCGCCATCAGTCTGCTGATGCACTCGCCTCATAGGTACAGACTGACCTGCTGGCGGCACCATACCTCCGCTAATAACAGAATTTCATGCAAAAAAAAATATATATATACACACACATATATTCCAACACCACACCCTCCGCCTGAGTGTCAGCCTCCTCCCTCCACCATGTCCCAGTGTAGGTGTCCCCACCCCACCCCCACCCCCTGCAGTGGTGACATGCCTCTTACTGGAGACCAGTCCTGGAGGCAGCAGGTCGCTCTGTCCAGGTGGAAACCGTTGGCACCGGGGGCGTCAGGGCTGTTCTCTCTGTGTACTCTAGGGGGGGCGATCTTGGCACCTCCTTTACCTGCTCCCTCCCCAGCCATCGGGAGAGCTCTGATATGATTCGTGGATCCTCATGAGAGTCTCTGGGTCCCTGAGCTCTGAGGTGGGAGAAGCCCTGCGTGGAGAGGTCTGAGCGCAGCAGGGAATGGCCCCTGCGGGTGCTCCTTCCAGAAGCCTGACCCAGGGCAGCCCCGCCCCTCTGCGGCCCTGAGGCCTCACTGCCCTGCTCTCCCCTTTGCTTCTGAACCTTCCAGGCCGGGGCTGGCCAGGCAGCCTGGTGGTAAGGCATGTCTTTGCCTGCTCAAAAGCCAGGTTTAATTCCTGTCCCTGCAAACAAACCCGAAAGAGCCACCAAGGCAGATGGCCTGGGGCGTGATTCAGATATTCCTGCTCTCTTGGCCCGCAGACCCTGTCGTAACATTCCCCCCAACCCCAGTTCACGGGAGATGTGTCCCCAGCTCCTGTCTTTGCCTTTTGTGTCACCGTTTTCCTCAATCTCAAACTTCTCATTCACTCTCTAGGGAGGTGGGGGGAGGGGGCTGTCCTCCCCGCATCTCCTTTGCAGCCCAGTGAGGTCACTGCCCCCAGCAAACGAGCAGTCTGCAGGGCCCCGAACCCTGACCTCGGGACCTCCCATTTCCAGGAAGTTCCAGCATCCCCCTCAGTCATCACACCCCTGAGCGGGTCTGACACGTTCCCACCCTGCATAGGGACCTGACCCCGTTGAGTATTTCCTCTGATTTCACAGGCCACTTTCCACACCTGGCATGTGGCCTGGTCGCGGGTTCGGGGGACTTTATTTCCTCAGTTCTTCCTTGTCAGGGACACTTGGGTAAGAACCACAGTGCCGGAAGATACGGTCGATGTCTCTCTCACACCCAGCAGGCTTTCTTTGTTTCTTTTTCTTTGTGTGTGTGTGTGTGTGTGTGTTTGTTGGTGGTTTGGGGGCCACATCCAGTGTTGCTCAGGGCTCACTCCTGACTCCACGCTCAGGGCTTAATCCTGGTGGTGCTCGAGGGAACCATATGGGATGCCGGGAATCGAACCTGGATTGGTCGAGTGCAAGGTAGACACCCTCCCTGCTGTATAGTCGCTCGGGCCCCCCATGTCCCTCCTGTCGGGTTTGGGCATGGAGGAGTGAGTTCCTGAGTGACGCTCCTCCAACCTAGGCATCCGGGGTGCGGCTGGCGGTGAGCTGGGCTGAATCTTCCATTTAATTCTGGCTTCAGTGCAGCCCCTCCTCGGTCCCCAACCTCTGTGCACATCTTTCACGGTTCCACCCCCTCCCTGTATACGCTTCTGCCGACTTCCTCATTAGCCCATCACTCTCTCTCTCTCTCTCTCTCTCTCTCTCTCTCTCTCTCTCTCTCTTTCTCTGCCCCTGCAGACATCGCTCATTGGTTGACGCTCTTTTCCTGCCAATTCCATCCCTCAGTGTTTCCCCCGAAGCTCTGGAGGCAGTCGAAATCAATAACCCTTGACTTGAGATCTATTCACTCAACCCCGTGTTTGAACCGAGGGAGTATCTGCTCCAAGCAGAGAAGAAACTGCCGGCGAAACCCCCGTACCTGCCCGTGGAGTGGCCATGACCCCGGAACACCTAGATTTATCTGGTGCTTGGCCTTCACAGCCGGCCTCTGCCCTGCCAGGCCCCAGCACCACTGGGAATGATCCCTCTGTCCCAGAACAAATCGAATTAAACGGCATTGGCCTGTGCAGTGTCAGGAAGCACTTCTGGCTGAAAGGCTCCGGGTCCCCAAGGCCACTCTGAGCCTTACTGAGCCTGAGTCGGTCGCTGGAAGAGGCCTCTATAGTCGCAGAGAGCTCTCAAACTTACTCTGGCTCATTACAGAAAAAGGATACAAATGAACAGCTAAAGGGGGTGGGGGGGGCGGACCTCGAGGGCCTGAGCACTTGCTTTGCATGCAGGAGAAAGTATGTCCCCCATGGCTCTGACACCACATCCAAAGGGCAGAGGACAAGGATCAGATCTCTCTCTGGGCGAGGAAACATCCTACTTTGGGGGGGGGGGGGGAGGATTGGCAGTGCTCAGGGCTTTCTCCTGGTTCTGTGCTCAGGGATCACTCCTGGCGGGGTTCAGGAGACCCTATGGGGTGCCGGGATCACACCTGGTCAGCTGCGTGCTGGGCAAACGCCCTCCCCACGGTAATATCACGCCAGGCCCAGGATAAATCCTGACTTCTGTTTCTCTGTCGATCAGCCAATGAGCGTGTCATGATTTGGTGCCGTGAATATCAATAGACACACAAATGTGCTGTCATCTGTATTGTGATACACAATCACAGTGTAGAGAGACATGAGAGACCCCTAACGCTTTTTCCTTGGATTTGTGTCTGGAAATTACTCTGCAAGGTGTAGGTTTGGTCAAGATCCCGGCCCTGGACCCCCGAAAAAAGGGCAGTGGCTCGGGGAGGCCAGAGGGCTTTTGGGGGTCGGCCGCCTGTGGGCTCTGAGCACTTTGGGGTCATCTTCCCTTTCTCTGCCTCTGTTTCCTCCTTCGGACTCAGGGAGAAGGCAAGTCCCCAGCTATGCTCTTGATGAGAGGAATTGGAATCACCCACATCCCTGCCTGTGGGAGCACTCAAATGCAAACCCTGGGGGAAGACGGACCCCTATCTCCGGCAGATTCTTTTTCTGGGGGAAGATTTGCAAATAGTTCCCCTCCCCCCATTTATTTTTCACACCTCCAGGTCTCGGAAGCTGGAGTGAGGCACGAGATAAGCCTCTCACCTGGGACGTTTGCTGTCAGGTTTGCTGGGTTTCCGCCCAGAGCAAGTTGCAGAGAGACGCCCACCGGGCAAGGCAGTTCTGCCGCCCCTGGGTCCTGGAACGTGGGCTACGGGTGGGGTTGAGTGTGACCTACACATTGTGGGCAGATGTTGAAGGTTAAAGGAAGGGAGATGTCATTCCCCCAGTGAGCTCGCAGACACTGTGGAGAAAAATGAGCTTCATGCCAAATCAGTCTTTTGGGGGTCAAGAGGCCAAAACCCTGGTCTCCTTTTTGTTTATCTCTTTCTGAACTCAAACTTCTAGAAGCCAGATGATGATTTATTTGTTGGCCTGGCATTGCCAGAGCTAGAATACAGGCTGCCTGCCCTGGGAGGAACTGGTTGACCTTTTCGAAAGAGAAATGGACAGAGGCTGGAGTGATAGTACAGCAGGTAGGGCATGTGCCTTGCATGCGGCCGACCCGGGTTCGATTCCCAGCATCCCATATGGTCCCACGAGCACTGCCAGGAGTAATTCCTGAGTGCATGATGAGCCAGGAGTAACCCCTGTGCATCGCTGGGTGTGACCCAAAAAGCAAAACTGAGAGAGAGAGAGAGAGAGAGAGAGAGAGAGAGAGAGAGAGAGAGAGAAACGGATGTATAAAAACTTTGTGTGCTATTGGCAGAACTGGGAGTATGTTCTGGTACTTTCTTCCTGGCGTGATAGTGACCGAACTTGAGACGTGGCTTGAGGCAGTTTGGCCCTCTGTGATGTGGATATGGTTGGTTTCGGGGGCCAGAGAGGGAACACAGCATTTGCAAGGCTCCCCCCGGTCCAGTTGCTGGCACCTCATGGTCCCCTGAGCATTGCTGAGGGCATCCTAGAGTCCCCCGAGCACTGCCCAAACAGCACCGCTGTCCCCTTGGCTGAGAGTCACCAGGAGTGACTGCGGACCATTTGGGAAGCCCTGGTCACCCTCCAAAGAAAGATTCTTTGTCAAGGAGCATGACTCGAGGGGCTGGAGCGATAGCACAGCGGGTAGGGTGTTTGCCTTGCACGCGGCTGACCCGGATTTGATCTCCGGCATCCCATATGGTCCCCAAGCACTGCAAGGAGTGATTCCTGAGGGCAGAGCCAGGAGGAACCCCTGAGCATCGCCGGGTGTGACCCAAAAAAAATCCAAAAAAAAAAAAAAAGCATGTCTTGAATGTTTTCCGGTCTGGAAATATTGTACCGAGTCTGCTCCGAGGCCCTGAGTGTCCACGCCTGGGGCCCAGGTGTGTTCCACGCTCGGCTGCTAAAGACAAGGTGTGGGGGGGCACCTGGGAGCGGGTGGCTGGGGCTTCCGGGAGAGCGTGAGCTCCTCTCTGGCCATGCGGAGTCCTCTGAGAGCGGGGACAGGCTGGGGGACAGGCAGAGCGTGGCGTGCTAACCGAGCGCTCTTTCCTCAGCTCATCTCCAGTGACGCAGATGGAGCCATCCAGAGGGCTGGAAGATTCCGGGTGGAAAACGGCTCTTCAGATGAGGTAAGGCAGCCTCGGGGCTCGTGACCGCAGGGGATGTGATGGCCGGGGTGGGGTGGGGAGAGCAGGACAGGCACCCGTGGCCAGGGGCACATGCCCTTGAGAGCTGGGTGAGAATTCGACCCAGACAGCACGACAGTGGAAGGAGCTGTGGCCCCCTGTGGGAGTCCCCCAGCCCCCAGCACCTGCCCCGTGACCTGCCCCGTGGCCAGGCCTCACCATGGGGCCTTAAGGGCAACTTGTGCATCCAGAGAAGAGGAGGCAGGAAATGACCATGAATGGTGAGCGGGGGTCCCCCTCGGGAGGCGACAGGAGAGGCCACCACCCTGCTCTCTGGCCACTCTCCTGCTTTCCTGAGCCATGACCCTCAAGCCTGGAGTCTTTTGAAAACTTCCTGTGGCTTGGAGCTGGAGTGATAGCACAGCAGGTAGGGCGTTTGCCTTGCATGCGGCCGACCCGGGTTCGATTCCCAGCATCCCATATGGTCCCCTGAGCACCGCCAGGAGTAATTCCTGAGTGCAGAGCCAGGAGTAAGCCCTGTGCATCGCCAGGTATGACCCAAAAAGCAAAAAAAAAAAAAACCTTCCCATGGCTCGAGGTCAGCGTGATGGTACCATGGGTAGGGCACATGCCTGGCATGAGGCCAACCCGGTTCGATTCCCAGCACCCCACGCTGCTCCCTGAGCCCCTCTGAGAGGGAGCCCTGAGCACAGAGGGCCACAAGGAGTAAGCCCTGAGCACTGCGGGTTGTGGCCCACAAAACAAAAACCAGTTAAAAACAACATCCAGGGCTGGCGCGATAACACAGCAGGGAGGGTGTTTGCCTTGCACGTGGCCGACCCAGGTTCAATTCCCAGCATCCCATAGGGTCCCCCTAGGCACCGCCAGGAGTAATTCCTGAGTACAGAGCCAGGAGCAACCCCTGTGCATTGCCGGGTGTGACCCAAAAAGCAAAAGTCCAAAAACAAAACAAAACTTCCATGGCTCTTCTGCCTCTGGGGTCCACCCACCAACACTGAGCCATGTTAGCAGCCTCTGCCCCGTCTCTTCTTTGTACTATCTTGGAGGTGCCCAGCATAGTGCTCTAGGCAGTGAGCCCAGGTGCGAACCCCAGCTCCCCCACATCCTGGTTATTAGAACCCCGTGCTCGTGCTTCAGGTTTCTGCATCTGTAAAGTGGGAACTGCCTCAGGAATCCTAAAACACTGGGGACAGTGGGGCAGGGGGCCCCCAAATCCCTGCAGGCCGCCTGTCCCGCCCTCCCAGCTAAAGACTGGGCCTTCACCAGGACACGGACCCTCGCAGCCTTTCGGGAGGGCAGTGGGGGTGGCCTCCTCTCGGCCGGACCCCGCGAACCCACCACGTGCCTCTTTCCTGCATCCACACACCCACGGGGCAGGAGCTCCCAGCACGGCTGCTCGTGCCGCCTTCGAAAGCCAAGGCCGACGTGGCGGATCCGTCCGGCTCTCCCTCTGGCCCCATCACCGGGACCCAGTCAGGAGCAGAGGCACTGGCTCCCACCCACCCCCTAGCACACAAAAAGCTGATGTCTTCTTTGAGCTCTAAATGCTGGCAACCCAGGAGGGGCTGTAACCTGCCTCTGTGCTGAACTGCGGCAGGAGGAACCCACCCAAATGAGCCATCAGCCCTGGAGTCTCCCCCTCCCCACGCCCACCCTGCAGGAGTCCAGGGGCCTCCTGCCTGGGATGCACCCTGAGACCTGGAGCTTTCCGTGGTCCTGAAGCAGCACCCGCTGGCCCCGAGTCACCCCTTCCCCCGCCTGTGGGGCTGCCCCCCTCCTGCCCGGGCCATTCACACACATCTGTGGAGGCTCCTGGGCAGTTTAGGATTCCCAAATCCTTGTAGTCTGATATCATCAAAGCAGAGCCCCAGCTCAGGTGACTTCTGTGGGAAATGGTCCACCAGGGCCCAGACCCGGTATGACATTGTGTCTCTTCTGAAGTGCTGGGTTCCGGGCCAGAGAGATGGTACAGTGGGGAGGACGTTTGCCTTGCACATGGCTGAGCCGGGTTCAATCCCGGGCATCCCATATGGTCCCCCAAGCACTGCCAGGAGTGATTCCTGAGTGCAGAGCCAGGAGGAGCCCATGAGCATTGCCAGGTGTGACCCAAAAGGGGAAAAAAAAAAAGTACCAAGCTTACCGCATTCCTCAGTGCCTTGGCTGGGTCTCATATCGACGGCCACATCAGTGCAAAGCTCATGACCAGAACATCACACCAGGGGGCTGGAGCAGTAGCACAGCAGGTGGGGCGTTTGCCTTGCATGCGGCTGATCCAGGTATGATTCCCAGCATCCCATAGGGTCCCCTGAGTACTGCCAGGAGTGAGTCATGAGTGCAGAACCAGGAGTAACCCCTGAGAATCGCCGGGTGCGACCCAAAAAGCAGAAAGTCACACCAGATAAAAGGCCTTCGGGACAGCACACAGAAGTAAAGAAAAAAAAAAACAGCTGGAGGTTCCCACAGCTCCGGGAGAATGCTCCAGGCCCCATCCAGAGCCGATATCACTGGGAGGTCCCAGATAGGGTAGGTGCTGTCTTCCCGCCTTCCCCGGATGGAATCCCGGTGACCATGAGCTTCTACAAGCATGGCTCTGGCATGCGGGTACCAGGACTTTTTCCTGAACCGCTTATGCGGCCGTGCGACATTTCCTGATATGCAGAGTGATCAGTGGAAAGTAAATGATCTAGCATTTCTCCCTGAAAATCGGGTTTGAATAGTGATAGGAAAATCTGAGCAAAAGATCATGCTCAACCAAAACACATCTGGACTTTGTTTTTAACTATGGTGGTATGCTGCCCTGGGAGGGGAAGGGTGTGTGTCCCTCCGCCTGCCCCCCTCTGCGGCGGCGACATGGTGGCCTGCATCTTTTAGAACCTAATGAGCAGCCAGGTATGAGACTGCATTGACGAGGCACGTGGGGTTTCATGGGATGGGGGTGGAATCGGCTCTGCTCCCCACCATGACAATGCTCCGGGTTGCCACCCTCAAACGCCTCCTCCAGCTTCTCATCGACCATGATCCCAGGGGCACACATACCAATCTCGGAACCCAGGGGTTTCTGGCAGTAATCCCTCTAGGTTTATTACTAAAATGTCAGTAATCCAAATTCTCATGGCCGCTATTGTGGCCACATGACATCATATGCTCTTCATAATCAGCAATAGAAAACAAATTTTCTAATGATGTCTTTGTGGCAGGTCTGAATGTTGGGGAAAAATCCAAATAACAATGTTGGGTCTTTTGTTGTAATATTGAATGTGATCAACGTAGAGAGAGAGAGAAAAGTGGAAATCTCCCACACAGGCAGGGGCTGGGTGGAAGGGGGGGTGTATACTGGGGTTCTTGGTGGTGGAAAATGTGCACTGGTGAAGAGACGGGTGTTTGATCATTGTATGACCAACCGACTGAGATTTGAACTAAAAGGCTTTGTGACCATTCTCATGGTGATTCAATAAAAAAAAAAGCCTCTGAGGAACCCAGTACGCAAAGAGAAATGGGCTTGTTCTTTTTTTAATTTTATTTTTATAAAGCAGTTCACAATATTTGATTACATTTAATATTCAAGCACCAGTCCCACCACCATATTTTGCATGTTTCCATCCGGAACCCCAACCCCTGCCCCAAAGCAGAACCGAAATAATTTCATTTGTATTGTTATGAATAAACTGCTGAAAATGATTGATTCACAAAAGTTTCCTAAGAGGAAATTGTGTGAAGATTGATATATATACATATAATACATATAAATGTATATGCTACATCAATATGTATATATGTATATGTATATACATATATGTAAAAAACATATTTCCGTCAAGGATTGGTTGCCTTCGACTTTAAATCCCTTCAAATGTGGTGAGCTATTCTTGGAATATCAGTGGTGTGAGGTATGAGATGTCATGTGACCACAAATGTGGCCACATGGTGAAACGGCTTGTTCTGAGCTTAGCGGGCAGTGCCGTGGCGACACAGGATTAGCTGTGTGTTTGCAGACCCTGAACCGGCGACCCTCGAGGCAGCCCCACCTGTGGGCTCTTTTTCCTTTGTCAGCAAGAGGATGGGTTCTCTGCAGAGCCTGGAGCCTCAGCCCTCGGCAGGTACATGAGGCACCAGAACTTCTCGAGTTGCAGTTCCCCGTTCTCTTTCTGCTTCTGCCCTGAGACACACAACAGATCTTCCACTGAGCTTACCTGGCGCCTCAGTTGTTTCTTGGGTTGCTTGTGCTTTCCGGGTGGTTGCTAAGGACCCGCTGCCCCCCTCCCAGGTGCTTGGCCACACGCAGTTTTCTGTTCCTTCAGAGAAGGGCTGGGCCACCTTCATTGCTGCAAACACTGTGATGTGCTGTCACCCCCCCACCCAGGGCTGGGGCACTTCGTGCCTCTCCCTGTCCCCTGTTGGAGATCCGTCCCACACCACCTGCTCTGTGCCTGCCTAATCGTGCACTGCTGTGTGTTCTAGAAAAAACGCCTGTAGGAAAGAGGTGGCTCCTCACGTGCCGTGTGGGCCCCGGACCACGGTGTTTGGTTTAGGATGATGCCTTTGACTGGTGCTTTGCTCGCGGCAGATGGGGGAAGCAGGGCCTCAGGACACGGTAACTGGAGGAGCCCGGCTGTGGGGTGTGGGCCAGTCCGGTAGGGTCCAGGAATTGCAGCAGTGTTTCCCAGACTGGGGTGAAGGATCTCCTTTTTTTTAGGGGGCTCACACCCAGCAATGCTCAGGGGTTACTCCTAGCTCTGCACCCAGGAATCACTCCTGGCGATGCTCAGGGGACAGTTTTGGGGTGCCCGGGTTTGAAACCAGTTGGCTGCATGCAAGGGAAGCTCCCTCCCCGCTTACTATTGCCCTGGCCCAGGGTCTACTTTTCTAAAGAAAATCTCTCCAGGGGCTGGAGTGATGGCACAGCAGGGAGGGCGTTTGCCTTGCACATGGCCGACCCGGGTTCGATTCCCAGCATCCCATATGGTCCCCTGAGCTACCACCAG